GTAGATGGATGCACAATGATTCTTGATACAAATATTTTAACTCCGGTGTGGACGGTGAAGTATCACGCGAAACTGAAGGCGTTTTCGACTGGTGATAACAGTTTGTCGTAAGTGTTATTGTGGCAACGCGCATCACGCAAAGATTTTTACCATTTTAAAATGTCGTTCAATTGAATGAAGAATGACTTAACTGCATGCTAAAAACGCATAAATATCACCGTAACTTGTCTCCTTAAACTTATGAAAGTCGTTTCCTTACATAGAATAGTTATTCCCTGTTTCAAGTAAACGTCTCTGAAACATTTTAATTTTTTCAGAGATCATTGGAGAAAAAGCCTCTTGGATTCAGAGTCAAGACTCTTAAAAAAATTATCAAGAAAAAAGTATCTTGATCCAATCGGTGTTTTTCTTGAATCGAGAGTCAAACATCTTAGCGGATTTCCTTTTGATTCAGGCAAAAATCCAATTGAACCAAGGGAACTTTTTTCTTGCCAATTTTTTTAAAAGTCTAAACTCTGGATCCACTTGACTTTTCTTTCTGTGATTTTTTTTTTTTTTTTTTTTTTTTTGTAAAAAAAAAATCTTCCAAGGGTCATTATTGTGCTAATAGAGTAGGTATAACTTACTTCTATCCAGTTTTCCCCCTATATAATGGTCTATTCTGTCATGCTAAGGAAGAACGCCGTATGAACCTTCAAACGTTGCCAAATTTCCTTCGATAAAAACCGAATTTACAGGGAAAATTGTGAATGTTTTTTTCTAAAATTTTCAGACAATTTTGTACGCAATTTAATCTAATACATCCGAAAATTAAAAAAAAAATGTGAATGAATGTCGTCAGAAATACATGTGGTATGCAGACAATACGTCTACAGAAAAAAGGGCTACAAGAAAAAGGGCTACCTTTTTTAATCTACAGTCAAAACGTCTACATTAAAATGCCTACTGAAATTTTGTCTAGAGTCAAATATGTCTTACGCCATTAAAATGTCTACGGTTTGTATGCCCAAGTAGAAAATGTCAAAATATTTTCGTTGACCACTAAAAATATATAAAATATATTTGTAAAATAAAAAAATAAATAAAATATTTATAAAATATACATGTTGATATTTATAGGATCAATTATCGCGAAATGTGACTCTTAATTTTTACGCATCAGATTCTGCAGCATCTATAGCCTCGTCCTGTCTTTGGGAATACACTTTGAAATGAGATTCTTATTAGACGACATAAATACGTATTTTGACATTTTTGGAGTAGGCAGTCAAACCAAAGAAATTTTGTTACCGCAGACATCTATACTATCTATACTATAAGCTCCAAGACCTCCTAATTTTGCGAAACTGGTAACGCTTAGTTCCAGCGTTCTACCGGGCCGATTTTCATGATTTTTGCGGCTATCGACGGGCAATTGCCTCTAGATAAGCCAACTCTTTTCAGATTTTCAAAATATGGCCCAGGTTTTTTGTATTACGTGGTAAAGTTGCGAATTCTCCCATTTAAACAATGTAAATTTATACTTTTTGTCATAGTTCGTTTGAGCGTTCTACCGGGCCGATTTCCATGATTTTTGCGTAAATCGACAGGTAATAGGCCCTAGATGAGCCCGCTGCAATCAGATTTTGGAAAAAGGACTCAGGTTTTTTTTAAAATCACGTTATAAAAGTGAGTGAGTTTACAGAATGCTCCGGTACTGCTACCGCTATGCGCGGGAGGATGCGCAATGGTCGAGGAGGTTGCGCAGTAGCTGGGTAGCCTGCGCATCAGCTCTACACTTATCTACACAAGATTCGCACCTACGACTTCATGTCGAGCGGTGGCCGAGTCGTCTGAAGGCGTCAAATGCGTCCGCTTTGCTCACAGTGTGGGTTCGATCCCCGATTTATGAAATCTTAATTATTACCTGACTATCATTGTTCATTGTTTTACTGCAATATTTCATCAAGCAGTCATTCCAAAACGCGTCCTTTTGTCATGGGAACGGAGTTCCCCATGATATTACAATCGTTCCGTTGCTTTCGCAATGGGATTCCCTATACCTCTGCGACCTTGAGCGTTTCGCCCAGTCTCCGATTTTTGGTTGATTTTCCGATGTATCAAAAACCGTTGTATTTTTTAGCCAATCATGTCTCTACGTCAAGTTGTGTTGATTGCTAAAATTCGCTTTCAGCGAGTTTTTTTCCACCTTGAGATGTCGTGTCTGACTGGTAAATCTGCGCAGAACCACGAAGTTCCGTTTTTAGGCAAATTCTTTTTTTTGGGAGGTTCTGATTGGTTATTTTTCGCCATCAGTTTTCTGTTCGTTGGTGCAAAAGATCGCCTACCTCGTTGCTCTTGAGAAGCCGCCATTATCCCACCTCAAATTTTAAACATAGATATAAAGAAATAATAACCATCGTACAAGGTGGAAAATTGCTCTGGAGGACCCGTTACGGATATATGAGCCAAAATCAGAACTCGATTGATGGATTTAATCCATGAATACAGAAATATTGCCTGAGCTTACTGCCGCGATCGCAAATGCCTGTTGATATGAACCTCGTGACACATGACAGCATAGGTAAACAATGTCTCACAGAGTAATGCGGTTGATCCGTTGTGTCTTATCACGCCAGTGGCCGAACCGTTGAAATCTCAAGGACGTCTTTTGTGAAGCCCCGCTCAGCGTCCGAGATCACTTAAGTGTTCTCTTTTTCTCCATGCATATCTGAGCAGCGAAATAGCTCAAATGGCTGCGTTACCTTTCTGCCTCTGGGAGAGTGTCACTTTTTGTGCGAGCGGGGGTTCGAATCTCGTAGGGGACAGCTAATTTTTACTGGTTGTATTGAATGTTTTAGACCAATAATCTAACAATAATTAATACTTGGCAACTTAGGAAGCACATAGGTCCCTTATGATGCGTATTCGGGCATATGTGTAGAGTAAAAATATCATACGTAGGGTGTCCCAAAAGTACCGGGACTGGTTCTGTAACTTCAAAAGTAAGATAGATACAGACATGATTTTGGTCTCATTTTAAAGATCAACTCAATACCTATCGATTAAAACCAAGATCAGCTCAATCGAATAAAAATTGACCGAGTTATGACAATTTGAAATTAGTGAGGAAAGTTTACCCCTACGGTTTTTAGGAAGATTTTTCGCTTACCAGGATTCAAAAAGTTAATATTCGTATCCACTTTCCTCCGAATCTTCCATAACTTCCTTTTGCTTTTCAAAGTACCGTCCATCAAACCGGATGCACTTTTTCATGCGCTCTTGCCACTTATCCAACATTGTTTTCCTGAATTCTTCCTCTGGGATGGAGTTGAAGAAGTTTTGAATTGCATTCTGGATTTCGGTCTTCGATACGAATCTTCGTCCGCGAAGCTCCTTTTTAAGCGTAGGAAACATCCAAAAATCACATGGAGCCAAGTCAGGGCTATAAGGGGGATGAGGGATTGTTTCAACTCCATTTTTACTCATAAATTCACGTGTTAAGCTCGATGTGTGAGGCCGCGCATTGTCTTGATGGAGTATCCACGAAGCTTTCAAGTCCGACCGTTTCCGGGAAATGTGCATTCTCAACTCCTTTAGTACTTTGCAATAATACGCACTGTCAACTGTTGTGTTTGATGGTACAAAATGTTGATAAATGACACCTCGAAAATAAAAAAACACAATAAGCATCACTTTATCGGCCGACTTTTCGATTTACGGCGATGAAGAATCTTCCTTAAAAACCGTAGGCGTAAACTTTCCTCGCTGATTTCAAATTGCCATAACTCGGTCAATTTTTATCCGATTGAGCTGATCTTGGTTTTAATCGATAGGTATTGAGTTGATCTTTAAAATGAAATCAAGATCATGTCTGTATCTATCTTACTTTCGAAGTTACAGAACAAGTCCCGGTGCTTTTGGGACACCTTATGTATACTTTACGCCGAAAAAGCGAACCTGAAACTTAAATGCGTTAACTTCCGAAAACCATATATAATCCAACGAAAATAAATAATTGGTACATAACAGCTTTCTTGTATGCAAAGAAAATAATTAAAAATGTTAAAAAAGAGATGTCAACACAAAATTACATAGCCCCTTCAATTCAGAAGATACTACAAACGAACTGTACCTTAACATTTTCATATCCCAGAAGCTAACGTTCCCATGACGAATATTGCTATCGCTAGCGATTGCAAAATCCAACTTGTTAATTTTAAAGTAATTTTAAGTAAAGTTTAAAATTAAAGTATACCTCATATCGTAATTGTTTAGGGGAAAAATAAAACTAACACTGATAGGAGGGTAAAAATAGGGCCGCGAAGCGGCCCATTGATGGCGCGGAGCGCCTTCGGGGGGTTGGGCCGCGTAGCGGCCAGGGGGCGTAGCCCCCTAGTATTTTACTATAGACATTATTTTAATAGGCATTTTCATGTACACATTTTGACTGTAGACCAAAAAAGGCAGCCCTTTTCTTTGTAGCCCTTTTTCTTGTAGACCTACTGTCCGTAAACCATACATGTTTTATCAAGGGAAATTTGGCAAGTCTCGAATGTTCATTCTGCGTTCTTACTTACCACGGCAGTATTGGGCGCAATACTCGATTTACTGCAACGATATCATGTTCGTATGATGTGGCAACTTGTTTCCTGCAGCTGAGATGACGGAGGACGTAGTAAATTAATCAACGGTGGCAGTGGCGTGGCGTGAATTGCGATGTATCGATTGTTCTGCCATTTAAACCTATGGTAAAGAATCGATTATTAAGGTGTTCGCTGCGAACACCCTGTTTATCGATCCTTTCCCATAGGTTTAAATGGCAGAACAATCGATATATCGCAAAGTACGCCACGCCACTGAACGGTGGAGAAGTCGCGGTCTGCCTCGCGTTTATTTATTTCATGTTGAAACAAGAGAGAGGTTGTTGAACCGTCCCGGCTGAAAAATTATCTCCTATCATCAAAGAATGGTATCGATCGTCGTAACTTTTCTCACTAATATGCTTTTTCTTTTTCAAGGCCGATGACCAAAGGCGAGATTGGGTGTTTCCTGAGCCACTTCCGCATTTGGAAAGAGGTAAATTCTTCGTTTCTTCGATTGTTTGCGTTTTTTTTCGGCGAGACGCGGATAAAACGGATCACATTTTGCAAAAAGGAACCAAGAACATTCCAATGTCGCTAAGATTGTGCAAATTTTTTTACCTTGCAAATATCAACGGATCATCCAAACAAGTCTCATCTTTACTCCCAATAATCTATAAATTCGAGACGAAATGTACCATTGTAAATTTTATTATTTGCTTGATTTCAGAAATTTTACTTCCAAGAATGTATGTTGCACAATTTTTAGCTACATTGGAATGCTCCTGGTTCCTTTTTGCAAAATGCAATCCAAATGGACCGCGTTAAGCAGAAAGGAACCAAGCCACATGAGCTTTGCCACATTAAATTCGGGCAATTTAATTTCTTACATGAAATTGGTAGTGCGGTTTTTTGCAAATTTCATTAATTTTTTGCATAGTGCGAAGCAAATTCATTTAAATTTTCAAAGGATTCTGCCCGAACGTTCTTTCGTAAAAATTGAATTGCCCAGTTAAATTTGGCAATAGCTGATATGATTTGCTTCCTTTTTGCTCAACGCGGTCCAAAAGGATAAAGTTAATTGAAACAGTCATATCTACATTGCGGTGTTTCGAAATTCCATCTGCTATTTACATTTTTGGGGGAAAAAACCAACCAAGCATTTTTGCTTAAAATTTTGTGGTGATAATACTTGCATATGGGCAAGAAAAATCGCTAAATTTTTTGAGCGGGTATGGTGCTTTAGTGTCTCTCCAGAAAATTCATGCCACGCCACCGCTCTTCCCTTATGTTACCGTCAGAAGTCGAAGTGCAGACAAATCGCGCTGTGACCAGTATGTGCAATCGCAATATGGCTAATACAGTCGTGTTTCGACTAAAATAACTTGGTCAAACCTGATTAAAATTCAGCTTAAGACCAGTAATATAGTGAATAGAGATTTTGATGAATTTTTCGGGGCGTATGTTCTTATTCCAAGAGAGTCCATATCAATCAAAAACACAATTTCGAAGATACTAGACTTGAGGGGTTTTCTCAAGTCGCACGCTGACTTGTGTATTTCTTGTCGGAATAAGAAACCATAAATTGCTGATGTAAAAAACTTTCAATCTTATTTTACAGAATTTTGTCTTTGAGAAAACCTGCAACGTTGTAGTCCGAAGTATTTATCGTCTTCTGAGTTTTAATCAGCGAGTTTTACCAAACCTTTGCCACCAGTGGCAAAGCGTGGATGATCGAGTATCGATATTTCCCCCATTTAAAGTCATGGTAAAGAGTCGATTATTCAAATGTTCCTCGCAAACACCCTGTTTATCGATACTTTTCCATAGGTTCAAATAGCAGATCAATTGATAAATCCCAAAGCACGCTACGCCACAGCATGCCACTTGAAACTGCCGCGATCCTCAGGCAACTTAATTTGCTTCCCTCTCAGCGGGGTTGCATACGCATCATTTTGAAGGCGCTTATACTTTTTTAGGTAATAGCTATCTTGTAACCGACAGCTGACAGACCACTCTTATACTGCCGTGCTAAGGAAGAATGCCGTATGAACCTTCAGGCGTTGCCAAATTTGCTTTTATAACGCACGAATTCCCTGGTAAACTTATGAATGTTTCTCTTCCAATTTTGCAGATAATTTTGTTTGCGATTTCGTCTAAAATTCCTGAAAATTTCAAGGAAAAATATTCATAACTTTCCCCAAAAATAAACATTTTATCGAAATAAATTTGGCAACTCTCGAATGTTCATATGGCGTTCTTCCTTAGCACGGCAGTATTGTGAATCATGCTTTACTATTTTAATCAAATGAGTGCATCAGATTTACTCATTTTTCTCACGATTTTTTCAGATAGTCGAGGAAAACTTGGATGTAGTCATGGTCTTAGAAGACGATGTCCGATTCGAGCATTATTTCAAAAGTAAACTGGAACAAGTCTTGGACGAATTGAGAACTTTGCCTGATTTTGACTGGGATTTCGTGTAAGGATCTGGTTTTGTTTTCTTAAATCATTAATTTCAGTTACGTACGTATGTAAAGCGTTCATGGAAAAAATTAAATTGCTGATTTAACAATTCAATTGCTAAAAAAAAGTGACTGCAATCTTTCAACGTAGATTTCACAACACAAAAATGCTACTTTAACCACTATTGTAAGCTAATTTAACCACGGGGGTGGTTAAAATAACATTTTTGTGCTGTGAAAACTACGTTGAAATATTGCAGTCACTCCTTTTAGCAATTGAATTGTTAAATCAGCAATTGAATTTTTTCCGTGATGGTAAGTCGATATACTTTCTTATGGTTGTTTAATTTAAAAAACCCGAAACAAATTAATTATGCCGAACCGGGTAAAGGGTGCTCATGCTAGGAGGTACCTCCCAGAAAGTTATTTTTATCAAAGGCCTGAAAATAGGATAATCTAATTCTTGACCCAAAGAAATTTGCGTCATTCCAAGTATAAGTTTCGAGCACCAACAAAGAGCCAGATTCACGATTTAGTTCGTCAGTTTTGGTGCCCGAGCAGTGAGGATGGTATAGAAACTTACCTACGTATACATTCCTCGAAACTGCGCCTCCAGTGAGCCGCTCGCAATTGATTCTACGCCTCAAGCTACTATGTAGGATTCGGCACTAATCTCGGAATTTTTTTCTCGTCCAAAATCGAGAAAAATCGACGGGGTACCAATTACCATGGATTTTATCCTGAAAAATGTTGATGAACCATTAAATTTAGAGGATCATTAACGTTTCACCTTTAAACCAACCAAAATAAGTAGAGAAACAACGTCAGTCAACCATAAATATGCAGGCCTAACCGCTCAACAACGCGCCATCACTGTAACGTGAGGATGCGACTTTTTCTAAGGCGCTGCAAACAACTATTCGTACTCGATGGATGTGCGTGTTGCATACGCATTTGATTGGAGGCGTTTTAACTTCCGTTGCGTTCGAAACGCAACAGTGACCCTAAATGTGCGGAAATTTTTCCTGACAAATGTTGATGAACCATAAAATTTAGAGGATCATTAACGCTTCACCTTTTACCAACCAAAATAAGTAGAGAAACAACGTCAATTAACCATAAATATGCAGGCTCAACCGCTCAACAAAGCGCCATCACTGTAACGTGAGGATGCGACTTTCTCTAAGGCGCTGCATACAACTATTCGTACGCGATGGATGTGCGTGGTTGCATACGCATTTAATTGGAGGCGTTTTAACTTCCGTTGCGTTCGCAACGCAACAGTGGCCCTTAGTCGGCTCCTGTTTGATCGATTTTCGTGAAACTCGGTATTCGAGGATATTTTTCAACGGAAAACTCGAATTTTCGGTCAGATTTTCAAAATTTCAAAATTCAAGATGGCGGCCGTGGCCTAAAATGCTAAGTCGGCTCCTGTTTGATCGATTTTCGTGAGACTCGGTATCCGAAGGTATTTTTCAACAGGAAACTCGAATTTTTGGTCAGATTTTCGAAATTTCAAAATCCAAGATGGCGGCCGTGGCCTAAAATGCTGAGTCGGCTCCTGTTTGATCGATTTTCGTGAGACTCGGTATCCGGAGGTATTTTTCAACGGGAAACTCGAATTTTTGGTCAGATCTTCAAAATGTCAAAATCCAAGATGGCGGCCGTGGCTTAAAATGCTAAATCTGCTGATTGTGGATGAGGACAAAGATAACATATTCGCCACTTTTCACCATACTTCTTTAAAAAAAGTAAATTCGTTCTTTTAAAAGTTAATAGCTATGAGGGGCGGCTCGCGGAACGAGTCGCAAGTTCACCGCAAAGCGAGGAACTGGGGGTCCAGGGGCACTCCCCGGCTATGCGTTTGGACATGACCGGATTTACCTACTTGCTGCCCATTGGCCGCCTGTATTTTTCCGCCCTCTTCTCATTCGTTTTGATTCATTAATAAAAACCATCAAGTAAACGTGCCGGAGGGGGAGGGGTGCATAAGACGCGTTCACTCGTGTTGGACACATTTTTTGCGTAAGCCCTGTCAACACTAACTAGCAAAAGTTCACGGAACTTCGCGCGAAAGTTCAGTTCCGTAAACCTACCTCTGTGGGGACACGGCCTTTTATTTTTAAGAAATGAACTAAAAAATTAAGAAAGAACAAATATAAATGTAGTTTAATAATTTTAACTTCCGCCGCCGTGCCGCGCTGACCACACGGTATTTGGCGCAATACGTGAAGTATTCATGTAGTCTTGTAGGCACTATTTCACACCGCGCCGCGCCAACCGCTGTTGACCGTACTGTGTTCGACGCAATGCGTGAAGTATTCATGCAGTCTCGTAGGCGCTAATATGTGTTACATGCCGATCGCGCCGCGCCGAGGGCTCCTCTTTTTCATCTCAAGTCCTCGTCATCATTTCTCTCTAGGTAAGTCGCGCCGTTCCAGGCCAAATTGCGTGTTTGGTTTCTCTCTCAACTCAACTAATTAAAGGTGCGCAGTGTTTTGTATCACCGAAATACGACAAAATTAGAAATTAATGAACTCTCAGGAAATGAGAGATTTTGTCACCTTTTCTTATTTGTAATTTTTTTCTGAATCCGATTTTTCTGTACCTGCATTTAAAAAAAACTTGCGAAATTTGCCGACTCATAATTTTGCCGCCATGGGCCGCGGCCCATATGGCCACCCCCTTAACCCGGCCCAGACCATGGAGTAAAATTTCGGGGTTAAAATTTTAACGAAATTTCCCCGATCGGGTTGAAGCCTAGCTAGTCCCCTTGGAAATGAACGTGTTTCTATCAAATGGAATTGTGTGCATTAAGGCTTGAGCCCTGAGACCCATTAAAATACATCCATAACAGGGCTCACGTCATAATGCTCATAGTTCTATTTGACAGAAATGCGTCCAAATGATGCGCTGAGTCCGATTATCCGGTCGGAAAAGCTCCATTGGTCCGCGCAATCGGCGCAGAACGCGCAGCCGGTGAACTTTTGCGAAACAGTCAAGAAGACTCATTTTTGACCGTTTCTTGGGTCAGGAAATTCCGGCGAGCCTCGGGCGCAATCGATTGTACGCCTCAAACTACGGAAAAATTGATCTTAATCTCGAATTTTTTTTTCTCTCGTCCAAAATTGAACAAAAGCGTCAGTGGCAACATGGAGTAAAATTTTGGGGTCAAAATCGAAAGTCCTCCGATCGGGTAGGGTCCCCTTACTTGGAAATGACCCGCTGAGTTCGATTTTCTGGTCTAAAATGTACTGCGTTTAGCAGAAAGGAACCAAGCCACATCTACTATTGCCAAATTTAACTGAGCAATTTAATTTTTTGCAAGAGAACGTTTCTGCGGATTGTTTTTTGAAACTGTGAAGGAATTTGCTTCGCACTATGCGGAAAATTCACTGAAATTTACACCAAAATCCGCACAACTGTTTCCATGTAAAAAATTAAATTGCCCAATTAAATTTGGTAATACTTGCTGTGGTTTGATTACTTTCTATTCAACGTGGTCTAAATGCTCCTCGAGCTCTGTGGTGCTCATGACTGGCGAATACTTATGCTGCCATGCTAAGGAAGAACTCCGTATGAGCCATCAGGCGTTGTCAAATTTCCTTTGATAAAACACGAATTTCCTGGTAAACTTATGAATATTTTCCTTCCAGTTTTTCAGGTAACTTTTTTCGCAATTTCACCTGAAGATTCAGAAAATTTAATGGAAAAATATTCATAACATTCCTCAAAAATAAACATTTTATTGAAGGAAATTTGGCAACTCTCGGATGTTCATACGACGTTCTTCCTTAGCACGGCAGTATGGGTGTGAATCCTCGGAAAGGGTCAAAATGGTCAAAATCCCTCGTTGCTTGGCTCCGTCCTGTCGGAGGAAACTCTGTTGAGTCTCGGGACTAAGTGGGATTGATTTTGCGCCTCAAACTTCGAAGGGTTAAGCCCATTATGTGCGAATACACTTGTAAAATGTCGAATTTGTTTTCCCATGAACATCATTTATTTACAGGTACTTGGGCCGAAAGCGACTCTTGCAGAACGTAACAGAGGATCAGGTCATCGGATCAGAGTTTTTGCGGCACGTCTCCTACTCGTACTGGACGATTGGCTACCTTATAAGTCTCTCAGGTGCTCAGAAACTGCTGGCTGCCAAACCTTTGAATAACCTGCTACCAGTCGATGAATTCCTGCCCATCATGTACAATCAGCAGCCCCAGTAAGAACATGTTTTGCAGATTTTTTAAAATATTTTTGCTTATTGGATAAACTACCTGTGAGTTGTTTTTTCTTTTGCTGAGGTAGTAAAATTCTTGAAATCTTTGTCTTGATGCATCAAGTGTCAAAAAAAATTGCTGTTCACATTACAGAATTTTTTTATTTTTATTTTTGAAAACTAGCACTCACTAATGCATATTATATTGGTGGCCAAATTGCGAAATCTTCCGACCGTACTTCATTTGGATTGCATTTTGGATAAAGGAACCAGAAGTATTGCAATGATGCTAAGATTGTGCAAAATCATCTTTTGCAATGAAGTTTCTAAAATAATGAAAAAAATATGAAATTTACATGGTAATTTTGTCTATTTACAGTTTTCAGCAAGTAAAATAGAAATTGTTAATAGATAAACAGGTTTTCTTCCAAGACAAAATAAGTTGCACAATCTTAGAAACATTGCAAAGCTCCTGGTTCCTTTTCGCAAAATGAAATCCATTTATTCTTTGGAAAATTAGTCTGAAAAAAAAAAAAAAAATTGGGTCTTTTTGACATGCAAAAGAAAATATTTTCCTCGGCTCTTGTATATCTGAATTTCTAGTTTTTTGAGTAGACAATACTGTCTAATTGAAACTGGTGAGCAAAGGAGTCGGATGCTTTTTGTATTTCTTATTTACACAAATAGATATCTAATAATATTTCAGATGGGATTTTTCAGTATGTATCTACTAACCGCTTTTTTTCTTTTAATGTTTTCCATAGAGAATCTTGGGCACAGTATTACCCAGAACGGAACTTACTAGCGTACGTGGCAGAACCCCTCTTGTTATATCCAGCTCTGTATGTTAACGAACCGGGATATGTCAGCGATACTGAAAATTCTACAACCATCAAAGTTACCCAAACGACTGAAAGGAGGGAAGAGCTGTAAAACTTCTTATTTCAACTTTGTTGCCTCTTCCTTGATGGAAAATGTTGCATCTGCTATCTTACTAATGGATTTTGAATTGATATCAATATTTCTGAGATAGTTGTTCTACTCTGACGCAATTAACTGGTGGTGATAAAAATATTTATCCAGGATCTGATTTATAATTTCTTGTACTCTAACTGACTGAAATTATTAACCATGTGCCATATCTTGTCTCTGATAAGTTACCTGTTTTATCCTCTTGTGCAAACACTGAAGCTGAATTCTGCCAGGGCCAAGAAAAATGGTAAACTTGTCTGAACTATGTAATTTACATAAAAATGATTGTAATTTTTTTTACCTTCAAAATTGATTTCCTAAACAAGTTTGTGCTTCTAGTAATAGATGGCTCAATCACTTTGCATTGAAATTAAAGTATTTTTATAAAATCTCAGCATGTGTAGCATTCATTTTATCTCTATTAGTAGCTGAAGAGATTTTTGGAGTGTCTTTTATTCCTTGGCATGAAAGGTGCAGAGGAAGCAGATATGTTTAAATGGTAGAACCCACGCAGTTTAGCATTGAAAATAAATGCAAAAATCAAGAAGGGGGATCTTCTGATACAATCTAAAAGTGAGTAAACTTATTTGGCACGGACTCAGACGAGACAATTAGAACAATGATCCAAAAATTGAACACTTATCAAAGAGGATGTCATTTTTTTGTATTGATATCGTCATCATTATTGTATAAAAACGGTCAGTTTTTTACAATTATTATCCCAGTACATGAGAGCTTATTTTACAAGTACCGAAAATGTTAAACTGAATGACAAAAATTTTCAGTTATTTACAGTCGACTTAAAAAAAATACAAATTTCAGATAAGTTCAGCACACTTGTACATGGACACAGAGACATAAATAACACAGAAACATCGAAAAATAATGTACCAATGGCTGAAGTGTAAAATCTTGTTTGAGAATGAGTTAGATTGAAGAATTTTGATACATATCAAATAAGAGGCAAGGGGTGTTGATAAAGAAGAAGAATCATACTATTTTCACGTATGCCATTGATACATTGTCTCTCAACCAAAGGAGAAGGAGGTATACTGAAGCAGGTGGATTGAAATCAGTTATTGAGAAAAAAAATAATTATAATGTGTCATGCTAAAGCAAACCCCTCATCCTTTGGCACAATATATTTAGTCACTGAAATATTTTAGCGACTGCTATTTTATTACCACACCTCATAGAAACTTTTAATACTAATATTTAGGGTTAGTTAAATTCACAACAGGTAACATTTAGACTAGATAGAGAACTTAACAATAGACGATAAGAGAAAATAAAGAGGAAAATAACGTATAGAAAAAGGTGACAGCTTTTACACAGGGTTCAATGTAGGAAGGAAAAATATAGCAACAATTCACCTCCATTCAAATCAAAGATTCTGGGAAAGTATGAACGTATTACTTTTCCTTATCAAAAGTATAAGGATTTTTTTGATGAAACAAATAAATCACGAAATTTTGATCGCTTAGGGGATTTGAGAGATAAGGAAATGTAAAGTGGTTTCTCATTTAAGACTAACTAGCAACAAAGTGGCGAAAAACGAAATTTTCTCTTTAGGAAGATCATGTGTAAAATTGAGAGCTGAGTCTTAAAAAAGTTTATCAATTACTTGCAAGAAATTTACAAAATGGAAGAAATAAGGAAAAGCTTACCATTGAATTTGCCTTTGGACGATAGAATGTTTATTCCTAACACCTTAATTGCATTAGTTTCCTTCTACTTAAATTCGGTCCATTTGTACAGTAAGTTCAATAAATTAAGATTCACTGAAAGACGAATGAATCATCATCCACACATCATTTTCGTCTGCATCTAGGATGCGCAGACGAAAATATTATTCGGTGGGAGGTTTGAATACGTATTCACAACCAAAGTCACAACCAAAAACCATATGCAATACCGTGAAAAAACGATGAGTATTTTCGTATTAGTGAGAATTTAGATAAAAATAAACAGATATAAAGTAGCTCTTGATACAATTAAATGGTCTAACCACTCACATGTTAATTGAACTACATTTTGCAATTCAGGAACTACAATCTCTGGCTCAGGTTAAAAACAAAGTGTGTTCCATTACTTTCGAAGAAGGGCGCCTTTCAAAAATATTCATTTAACATAAAGCTGATTTGAAGCTTTAAGAAAGGGTCTTCGTACATTATGGCCTTTAATTCTGCATAGGAGCGTTGGATCAACATAAAAACATAACAGTGTGTTCCAAAAGAAGCACTGAAGCTATAACATTTTTAATCCAAACAAAGACCAATTTTACAATACACCGTTCTAGAGACAAACTCTTCAATTGTGGTGCCGACTTGCAAAATGTAATCAAATTGGGCTTTATTTAACTATACTAGATAAACAGCGAGTCAAATGGAGACAATCCTATTTAATTTCAAAAGTTACATCATGATAATTGATAATTAATTAGAATAAAATACTCAATAAATTAATTACCTTTGATGCAAAAAAAGCACGGAAAAAAGGACACCACATGAAGACCTTGACTATGATGACTCCTATGATTTAAACGTGGGAAGATTATACAGTTGTCGCCCAAAAAGGGGAACAGTAAAAAATTTGACACAAAGCGAGAGAGGAAAAATAATTTGTACGTTTCAACTCATTTAAAAGAATAAATATTTATAAAACTTAACGAATTATCACAAACTAAAAAACTATCGTCGACTTTCACAATGTCTTTTTTCTTTTTCAAAAGGGAGAAACTAAATGCCTAAGGATACAAACTATTGAGTATGCAAGAAAAGTGATACTTACAGAAGTAAAAAAAAAAGAACATTCATGAAAGAAAAATAAAAATACGACGTAAGTACACATGCCTTTTGTGAAGTAATCATTAGGAAACTTCATGTAAAAACTTTCTTTTTTACACCACCTCCGAATGGACAACTGTTTGACATTGATCAAGTAAAGTTGGTTCCAAGTGTTTAAGGAATTAAAAAACCAGATCATGGGTCGCTACCATAATAGTGAATGGGAATCTATAGAATTCGGATGGACATCAGAAGACTATATGGCGAGATCAATGATCTTAGAGAATTATGGAAATGGAAAATATGGAACTGTACAGCTCGGTTTAAAAACGATTTGAATAAGATTGTTATATTTAGAGATAAAAGGTTTGCCATTTAACCAAAATGCAGGAATATTTGTGAGGAATCAAGAAAAAATTAGTTTGATAAATCAGCATGTCCACTTAAATTATTTAAAGCAAAACTTTGCTGATCCTAAGATGCTTCACTAGTTGGAATATGTGTAATGTTGATAGCCTTATATTAGAAATAGGAGAACCAACATCCAGGGCTTGACTCATGAGATATGAGCATGCTTGCGCTATGCGCTCGACAGGGTCAATTCAGTCGCTTTGTCGCCTCCTCATTCGCACCTAGCATGTAGACTCTTACCAAAATATTATTTGTAAAAGTAAAATAAACTTTTCTTTCTAACTTTATATCTTCCATCTTCAACTTATGTTGATAAATCCGACAGGTTATATGGCCCAGTGCTATACAAAGCGGTTTTGTAAATCCAAGCATCAGAAATGAAGTGAACGAAAGAATAAAACGCAGTCAATTAAAGTTCGAGAATTGATATTCGGATGGCGCGGTTTCGAGAGTGCTGGCACTGCTACTATGTTGGTACTATTAAAAATCTAAATTATTGAATTTGTTTTTTCAGTGTCTCAAAGGATGTTCCTGTTCATGCCAAGGAAGCATCAACCTCTCTTTTAAATGCAGCTTCCACGCCAAAAGTCGAAGTGACGAGGGATGATACCTCAACTCAGTCTTCTTCCCAGTCGTCGGTTCAACCCAAACAGTTGAAAAATGTGAATAGGTGTGTATTTTTTCTCTCCTCAACCTCTACGGTATGAAATTTTACTTGAACGTTTTAAACTTATTCATAAAAATATCTGTCCACGACTTAGTACTGCATTGTTGCCTCTTGGAAAATGTTCAATGTCGGCGATATTCAGGGAATTTTCAGGAACCTGAAAATATCAGTTTGTAGTCAGGTAAATCATAGGAAATGTAAGAAAATTTTTCGGTACATAATTTTTCAGAAGTAAGCGTGAATACTAATTTATGCATCAATGCTTGGAACGTGCAAAAACTTCGCCATGAGGTTGAAAGTGTTCGATGAGTCGTGCGATAAATTAAATTGTATCCGCATACATAAAGTGTTTCTCTCTTAAGGAGAATAAATTAAATTGTATCCGCTAATGTATTAAGTGTTGCTTTTTTTCTCAGAAGAAGATTGCCAAAAAGAATAAGGAGGACAAAGAGCCGCCAAGAGATAAACTGCCGGAAAAAGGCCTACAGTTAGTGAAAGGTATTTATTGTTTCTTTCCATCCACCCCCTTTCGATTTTCACTACCAAGTAATTACTGTCTTAAATTTAAAAATTTGAAAGTGAATGCATCAGTTTCATGCTTACTGGTCAGAAACTCTTTTGAATGGCTTTTTTTTATTTTCTTTAGCTGTATATTTTCAGGGTTATTTTTGCGAAATAGAAGTAGTTTTTCCTTTTCTTTAAAGAACGGTGTACTCCCAGTCTGGACGTTGAGACGAGCTTCATACTTCTTCTTCTTTCGTAATCAAGGTGTAGGTATTGAGATTCATACGGTTTATATTAAAATTTTCCGGCCTTTTTTGGTTGATGTTTTTGCTTTCTAGGATCACTCTAAAATATTTTGAAATTTAATCATTCCTTTATAAAATTTCCGTTTAAAACAATCCCTTTTCGAACACAATGGCGCAACAACCAGACGTTAACATGCCTCTTCAAGGTTTTCTTATTGCTCGGCCTCCCATCAACGGGAGCCTCGAAGCTGGTATCGCGGTCGGAGTAGACCCAAATTTACCAGGCGATATTAAGCTCCCGTTGTTGGTAGGCAGCAATCTACAAAGAGCCGTTTCCTTGGCTGACGCATGGGCCAGGTCGAAGTTTGCCAATCTGCCACCTGCAACCTTAGATCTAATGACTAGCGGCGCCATGACTTGTGTAATGTTCGGTCTTCTAAGGAAAGTTAACGGTCAATCAGACGGTGACTGGATGCCCATCCAAGCGCCTCCTGCAGAGGCTGAGGGATGGGATCCAGTCCCGGCTAGCACGTATACCGTGGAATCGTTGAGAAGTGCGTTGACCGTTATAGTGGCCACCAAGGCCAATTATTGGTTGACCAACCACCACACGGGGCAAGGCGCCCCGAGTGGTTACGTGTTGAAGGTCCTGACACTCAAGTTCCCAGGCGCAGACATGGCATCTTTGACTACCGCGGCCCACACATTGGGGCACTGGGCTAGTACCTTACACTGCCTTAATGTAGCCCAAATACCTGGTGTCCGACCAGTCGAACCATACGAATATGCGAACGCGACAGGATTTGAGTTGGCCCCTGATGCCTTACTAAGGTTCACAGGCCTACCCGCGGGCACCCATCGAATGGGTGTCGCCGCAGAAGCCGCCTCTCGTATCATTAAGAGTGCATTGATCGCGATATGTCCGTCACCGCGGGATTTCATCGCCATCCCATCAATCATTGCCTCGATTCGCGCTTTTTTTTTTGTCGGTCTCCTGTGGTGTAGTGGTTGTAGCGCTGGCTCTACAATCAGGAGGTCCCGAGTTCGATTCCCGGCTAGGCGACCCGAGTTTGATGGTCTCAAACAACGGTTGCCTAGGGCTGGTACATGGTAGGGTCGGAGGGGGGAGGGGCTCTAACTGGAAGCGCAAGGATTACCACTTGTGTGGTATTTGAAGTAGTAAAAAAAAAAAAAAAAAAAAAAGAAAAAAAATCAGAAACTGCATTGTTATTGGATTCCCGACCTACGCAAACCTGGTTCTTCCTGTAGAAATGTTCATGTTCTTTTACCGCGTACTTCCCTTCTCTTAAATTTCCCCAATTACTCATCTTGCAATCAATCTTGCATCTTGGACTTCCATGCTTTTCATTTCAAAGAGAGTATTTTGAAACCATAAAATTTTTAGATGTAAAGCGTTAGCTCAGGGTTTATTGAATGTATCTGCATACACATTAATTCAGTAATTTATGTCTGAGTCCTCTCAAATTTGTTTTCAGAATTGTTTATGAAACGCGCCGTGGAAGAGGGCTATGATATCAACTCTTCCGACTACAAAACCAGGGCTAATAAAGTGCACTCATATATCGGGAAAAAAATTTCTACGCTCATCAGAAGCTCGAAGAAGAAGCAGAATACTTGAGCGAGCACCCTAACGTGATATGATTATTTTTCATTTTTATTTTCCCTTTTCGTTTTCATTTTTTTATTCTGTAAGACTGAGCATGTAGATAGTTGAGTTTTAAGTTTGTTCGTTTAAAATTTTTGTTCCTGTTTTTTCTAACTAAACCATTAAAGTATTTCTTGATCTCAGAAGCTGATGCTCATCATTTCGTTATCATGCCCTCTTATACTAATTTCCTCTGTAATTTTTACAGGTAGAATGTTAGAGCTATTATGATCGTATTAGTGGAAGGAGATCGCTATGATAAACCTGAAAAAGAGATAGCAGTATCATTTGCACCATCTGGAAATCGGAAATTTCATCCAAAACGCAACAAGAATCAAAATTCTAAAAATAGTTTAACACTTTCTTATAATTGCCAGAAAGAAGGAAATCATATCGCGGCAAATTGTCCTGAACCGAAACGAGAGAGAACGAACGGAAAGAAGATGTGGTGCTCTGTTTGCAGGATGTCAAATCATACGAATGCGATGTATATTAAACTTCATCCGAGGGCGATAAAGGTGATGGTAAATCCAAAGAAAAAGTTCACTTCATGGTAGCTGATGATGATAACGAAGTTGAAGATTATTGGGTTGTTGACTCAGGATCAGGCTCACATATCACTAATAATGACAAGATTTTGACACATTTACGCTCCTGGATCCCTGCTCATGGAGGGAGATTGTTGATCGACTAAAAATGGGGCGGCGTAGCCCCTTAGACACCACTTTCATCAGACCAGTCAATCAAAGAGACCAACTCTATTCATAGGTTAGTATTATACTCTGGGTTTAGCCCTAAAAGCGGCCATTTTTTTTCGTCAATTAATCGTGTTAATCGATTTTGAATGGCAAAATCGATTTGAACGAAGAAAACCGATTTAAGCCAAGTTTCCACAACGAAACTTCTTTCAGCGCACAAAGCTGGAGAATCAGATTGCAGAGGAAGATTTTTGCCGACGATTCGAATTAACCGCAAGATCGCACTTCCGCACTTCTAACGCATTGTTGTCAGTAGTTGCAGTATTCTCTGAATGCAGGATTTGAGGGAGTCTCTACGACACACAGACTGGGAGCAAAATTCAGGTACCGACTGATGTTATTTCTTGTTTAAAACCAATGGAGGAAGCAGCGCAAAATTTGTGTGGTGAAAAATTTGTTAGCACTAGTCTTGTGATTCCTTTAATTAGCTGTCTTCAAAAAGACATAAGCAATCGTCAACCAGATACAGACTCTGAAAAGCTGGTAAAAACTACCTTGCTGCAAGAGATTGCGAGGGAAGATGGCATTGAAAAACACTTAGGATTGATGATTGCAACGCTCCTTGATCCCTGATTCAAGAGATTACAGCTGAAAGTTCACTCCATATTTCCAAGACTTTCACCAAAATTAATGGGGAAATAAAAATTTTGGAACAGCTACACAAAAAAAGGCAGCAAGCAGCTAACAAAAAAAGACAATAATCATGTGCGCAAAGTGCTCTGGTCTTTGGCAACATCATACTACTTTGTTGAAACAAACAGGTCAAACTGAAGGTGAGATGTTAGGTGGTTTGTACCACGAACTGAAGTTGTACCTGCAAGAGCCACTGTGGCCGCACGGCACATGCATGAGCACATCATCTCAATGATGCGCGTGGCGTGTCGATGCGCCCGCATGGAGCAGTTTCAACTTCAGCCACTGGTTACGGTTCAATCGCTCGGTTCCCTATCGCAAAGTTGTGCAATATCAACCTGGTGGGGAGTCGGTGACCACCTATAAATAGAAGCTGGGGCAAAGGCCGCCGGGCAACCAGTGCAAAAGTAAAAATTGTAGAGACAATTTGTACCTCGGCTTGGACCCATATCAATTAACGACCCAGAACTGTACCCAAACACGGCCTGGACCCATACCATATCACTGCCTGGACCCTTACCATATCACGGCCTGGACCCGTACCATATCACGGCATAGACCCGTAGGAAAGACACAGCCTACACCCGTCTATGCAACTTAGATATAGAACCTGTATACGTGTAAAATTCTTACAATACAATCTCACACGTGTCCGTTAGCCATCATCTCCATTATTACCCAAATAGCACTTCCTCACACCAGTATGCGCAGGACGAAGAGTTAGGCCCATTAAATTTTGGAATGATAGAGAAACTGTGTTTCCGTCCTTGGCTAAAATTGCTATCTCACCATTACAGCAACATCTGTACCGTCTGAGAGGCTGTTTCCAACATGTGGAGACATTTTGAGTGATGACCAAAATCGAATTGATCCATACCGACTTTCTAAGCTTAGTTTCCTCCATTCTGTAACTTTAAAGCAATAGTAGGTACACATAGATGACATACTAGTAGAATACAAATGTACATATATTTCATTTTTGGTTTGTTTACTTAATTCTTGTCTCTTTATGATGTATTCATGTGATAAAATGAATTTCCCTACTTACTTTTTTGTTGTTTTTAAATGAGACTTTATTAGGTTGTACTGTTTGATATATTATATTAATTAGAGACTTTGACTGTCAAATGTTAACCGATGTAAAACTTTAAATGTTCTATTTGATCTGTTATTTTCCTTTGAGTCGAGTAGGTGTCTATGTAACCATTATAATTTTTCTCATTAATATTCGTTCTCTATTGATTAATTATATGTTGAGAACTACCTCTTCTCGATAATTTGACACTAAAAGTAATTATTTTCAACACGAATGTGTAAGAAGTAGATATTATTTTTCTTGTGGTTTTGTTTTCTATTTCTATTTTTTACTTCTTTATTCTATTATTGATTATACTCGTAAATATTATTTCAAGTAACCTTAACACCGCTGGGGGTCAGTCTTCTTCTGAAGATGAAGAGGAGCCCGTGCTCCAACATGTCACCTCCTCGCAAGCCCTTGGCGCCGTGGACGTTCTGCGCAATTTCTCGTAAATATTATTTCAAGTAACCTTAACACCGCTGGGGGTCAGTCTTCTTCTGAAGATGAAGAGGAGCCCGTGCTCCAACATGTCACCTCCTCGCAAGCCCTTGGCGCCGTGGACGTTCTGCGCAATTTTTCCTCTGAACACGGGGACGTTGAGTTTCAACGAGCCCTATACATCATAGAGGAGAAAACACATTTGATTGCCCTGCAGGCAAAAAAGCAAGCCGCTATTACTGACTTTTTTTCAAAAGCATAATCTGTACATTTTTTGCAAACAGTTTTAAGGTGTAAATAATGACCGCACAATTTTTCCAAATTTTTGAATTTGTTACACATTGATTAAAAGTCGCCTTTACTTGAAAGTATGTACATAATTAATAAAGATCGTGAATACCTCCTTTGATTTTCACTTTTTCTCTAGAAATGATATTCAATATAAGAGCACAACTCTGGCGCGTTATGGAAGAGAGCAGTAAGTACAGTTTGGCAAGGGCCTCAGTTAGCTTGTGATCTCATGGGTTTTGAGGCTCATTCCTTTACATACTTTATTGTTATTGACGTACTTTATTGCTCACTTTCGTAGCACGGCAGCAGAGCTGTCGGTACGTGTCGCTCCGCACTGCTATCAGCAACAATACTGATGGGGACATGGGGATGGGAAGAGGGAAGCGGTCCGGAAGAAATTAAGGACTGTGGTCCCCCCTCCAGCTGGCCGCCTTCACTGAGAGTGATCATGCTGTGGTGGAGGAAAAGGGGAGCTGATGTTGTCTCTCGCACTGCGCTGCGCTCTCTCGGAGATTCGCTCACCCTTCGTGGCGTAACTTGACCCGACCCGCACCGCGCGCGGAAACACTACCTACGCTTGATCACGGGTGACAATCGAAGAAAAACAGGCCGAGATGGAAAAATTTCACCGAGTTAAGCGGTTTCAGAATCTGACCAAACCGCTATCCAGACTTATTTAGCACTGTGTTATATGGGTGATAAACGGGACCGGGCAATTCTACCGACTAAAACAGGTTACCGGCTTATCCGGGAACCGAGTTATTGAGGTTTCACTGTACCTCTCTGCAAAGATTCTGAACTTTTTTATTGTTTACTTTACGATTTTTGTTTTTCCTTTACTCTCACTTAAATTAAATATTCAAAGAATTACATATCTTTGAGTGCATATGACATCAATCCATCCCATTATCTAAAGTAATAGAATCTTGCACACCGCCACCGCAACCCAACGACTGGAGAAAATACCGTGTAATTGTGAAAAGAGAAGACATTGGTAAGTGGGAATACCTACTCAATATTACATTTTTTTTATTATTAGTTCCTTCTACCTATTTGAATTTCCTGCCAGGTACTTTTTATCATGCTTTAACTCTTTGTCGAACCTAACAAAATTTACCTTAAAACGGGCGTAAAATGTGTTTTTACAACCGGAAAGTGCATGGACCCGGTTAGGGGCCACACATTTTGGGACGCCTCCATTCAAGACGCAACGCAAAACACTTCACGGTCCTACACGAGGCCCCGTCACTCCGCTTCAACGATTCAACAGCACCGGAACCAATTTCCTATCCAGTCAGTGAAAAAACGTGGCATTCAGCCTTAAAGCAGCAAAGAAAACCAGAATATGTCACCATGACGCATACCACACAGAACATGCACGATTCTGCATTCTATCTGAGTCAGACTATGGTTTTCCATTCACCAAGACCTTTCAAAACATTACAGCAGATTTGTTGACATATTTTAATGTAAAATTTGTGTATTTGGAGAAGCACATGAAAACTTCACTCAACTCGATATTTCAAAACTTAAAAACGGTAACATTTCAACTTGAAGAAAAATCTTACAGCACCAATTGGCTTTAGCCGTCAATCACAGCGAAGAATTTGCAAGGATGCAAGGAGACGGCCCCAGATACATGACCATGACCAAGGGAGAAGTGGCGTACCTCACCCAATGCCAGGCAGCGCCTGTCGTATTAGGATGGGCACAGCACCTCTATAATGAGATTCCAGTATGACACAACGATAAAAGCATGTTTTTGACCCCGCTAACACGAATCCTAACGGCTAAAGGGAGCGAAGTAGACTGCTTGACTCACACGCCAGTAAAACATGAGATAAACGGGGTTTGGGTGGGTTTCAACACAAAAATTACAGAGACAAAAGCACCAACACAGTTACCATCCCGATTAGAATTTGCATGGAGTTACAAGAGCCCAAAAAATTTCATTTAGGGAATTAACACAGCAGAAGACATAAAAGCCTACCAAAGGCGGATGACCCCCTTGAAAGCGCTGCCATACAAAATGCTCTGACTTGAGAAGCCCTGGGATACCCTATACGAACAGAGTCCAGAATTAATTTTGTGAATTTCCTCTTGGAAAACGCAATAGAAACATTAGTGGAAAGAGCAGCAAAACGAGGATGAAGCCTATTTTATGAATTTGGGACCTTGCGCCAGGACTCATTGGCATAATCTTTGTTTTTAAAACAATAAACATTGTCTTGGACTCGCTACTCTTCGGAAAACTCTTGTACTCGATGTTCGGCTTCTCATACAAAATCCTAGTTTGTGGATGCAATTTGCTAGCCAATTACCTAATGCATGCCCATCGCTCGAAAAATAGAGAATGTACGGCACCGAACGGCAACACCCTAAAAACGCCTGGGCTTTGCCCTATTTCACTAATAAAGCACTTTATATTTTTAACCAGTGTTGCCTCAGTATCACAGCCCGTTGCAGAAAGACTAGTTTTCCACAGTAGCTAAGTATCCACTATCCACAATTAATGAACTTTGTGAACCCTTCTTGTGAAAATTCTAATTTGCACATCCCCTTCAATTACGTGCCTCTTGAAAATAAAATACAAAACTTGAGCTCTCATTTTGGTTAAATTGCAACCTAGCAAATAACAATCAATAGCTTGATGACAGTTCCATCATGAGTATTTTGAGAATAAATATTAATTTGAGTTATTTTGAGGTTGTATAGTACCTACTTTTCAAAAAGTATACTATAAAGAAAGCATAAGATATACATTTTTCTTTATCAAATTTTTAACAGGAAAACCACTGTCACTCCTTCCAGCAATAAAAGTTCAAGCTAAGACTAAGTGTTAAATTACAGGCATAAATGGAAAGAGACCCCTTTTCTTCATACCTTGTCTCATGAGTCCTGGCTGATTTTAGCAGGTAAAAAATAGAGCGGTAATTTCATTTTTTCGCGAGGGACTATAGCTTAGATGAAATTCGGAGACTAAAACATTTGAAACCTCAGGTGGAGCACAAAACTTACGCTAAGAAAATACTTGAAAGGTTTGCACTGTAAAAAAAAAGTCGCATTAAACACAAGAGGTCAGGATTTGTAAGTACTTAAAGAGAAGATACACTTAATTACATTATTCCAAGGGCCAATTTTGATCAGGTTGTTTGCTTACTTCACATGAAATGTAAACAGGGAGAGAAACAGTGCTACCGTCAGAGTTATTATTGCATACTTGGAACGATGTTTTACTTGGCGAAAGAGACGGAAAATGGTGACCCAGGTTCCTTTGCATAAAGCTACTACTTAGCCGACCAAATCACAGATTTTGAGTTCCTAGTTTAGTTTATTGTATGGTACAAAGTACTTTTCCGAGTCAACAGTGTGAGTAAAACAGTGTGAGTAAAACAGTGTGAGTCTCCCAATATTGATATTGTTGCATCAACGGAGATGCTTGAAAATACATGAGATATTTTACCGAAGAAAAAAATAATCTAGCTTTCAAGATGCTATGGTGATTGTCAGAAAATTGACCAAAGAACTGCAAGTGGAACCCATATTTAAAGTCAAAATAACTTAACAGTCAGATGGGAGACTCCATTTTGAAAACTTCCTTACCGAAAAATCTCTCGAGACAATCTTCCGAAACACCATGTGGCGGCGCGGCACTCGCATACATACTCTCAATGATGCGCGTGGCGTGCTGACGCGCCCGCTCGAAGCAATTCCAACTTCGGCCGCTAGTTGCAGTTCGATCGCTCGGTTCCCTATCGCAAAGCTGGGCAAACCAGCCTGGTGGGGAGTCGGCGATCGACTATAAATAGTGGCCGGGGCATAGGCCGGGCACCAGTATTGATCCAGATTTGAAGAAGACCCACAGTCGTAGTCATCGGCCAGACCCGTAAATATCAGGGCTGAGACCCGTACCATCACGGCTCAGACCCGTATCTCCATCACGCCCCGGACGCGTTCACAAACACGGCTCAGACCCGTATCCCCCCCTCCCCACGGCCTAGACCCATGTCACCTTATAGCCCACTCTTAGAGCTTAGAACTGTGTATATAAATATAAGTGTGAAACTCACCGCAAGTGAAATATTGAATAAAAATGTAAATATGTGTCAATGCAGCCCTTGCGATTCATCATTATCAAAAACCCAAAAACCACCCCCCTCACAATGGTGGAGGCAAGCGAAAACGTCAGTTCGATTAACACCCAACTGAAGAAGTTGATTAGGCGTCACAAAAAAAATTTGAAGTTGATTTTTTTAACCCTCTCATTGACATATTATTATTCAGAGCAATTTTGATGAGGAATATTTCGATCCTGTTGCCAAAACAATATTTTTGGGGGAGAATGTCGGATGCTGAGACCTCTTGTTTTCTAAGACCCAAACTGTAAAGTTATTTCAGTTTTCAGTCTCCAACAATTTTTAAAATTTTTGGTGAAGTAAGCAAACAACTGAAAGAAATGGAACTATCATCACTTCAGGATGACAATATTTCACCGATGAAGAAGCTGGAGTGGAGTCCTCACATAAAACATTCACTACCCTGTTAACCTCTTGCAAAATGTTGAGACGAGATAAGTAACAAGTACGTAGAACTGACGATGAAAATGAACCTGGAGGTACAGAAAACAGAGGGAAAACAGGAACTATGTACAAAACCGGGGGTTGAGTTTGGATGAATGGAAGTGATGCCAAATTTTATCACAGCCGAGTTTGATCGTTTGACCACACAAGAGGACTGACTAGTATAAGTGTCATCTATTGTCTGTTTCAATGAGAATCTGGAATGAAAATGCACAAACAAATTGAGTAAAATTTAAAAAAAAAAAAAACATGATACAGGAGAGCTAAACCAATACTGGCAAACAATTAATGCTGATGGCTGAAGGACATAGAAAATTCAATAAGATACTTGTCCATGCCATCAAAAAAGCAGCCAAAGAGGTAAATTGTTAAGGGTTTCAATCATAGCAGTCTGTCTTGCTCAGTACGATTCCATAGTTTGATTATTTCGGTTATGCTTTCTCACTTCTCTTTCTAGGGAGGCTCAGTTGCTGACAACCCAAAAACCTGTCTGCAGAGGCAAAAAATTGGAAACAGCGTATACTGCGTATCGCAAGCTACACAAACTGGGCGCTAAGGAGTGAATTTCAGGGTTTTTGATGAACCAGTCAAGATTATAGTGTGTAAATTCACTTGCAAGTAACAGATCAACTGCAGTCGTCTGGAGAAAGAAGTCTAGGAAACAATGGTATACCCTCGGAGGGATGAGTAAAAAAAATTCTTTCTGTGAAGCAAATCAATTGTGAAACTCCCAAAACTATGCTTCTCATTTGTGGTGTTTTAAAATCTCCTCTCTTATTTCATTTTTTTACAGGCGAATGAATCATCATTATTTCTTGAAGTGTTCACAGAATTTTCTTCACATATAGAGGAGATATTCCGGAAATTTTAAAAATTGCCGATGAGTAGTTTTTCATTTGAAAATTAAAGTGTGATAGGAAGTCTGCATTGTCGCAAACCGTACATGGTTTGAGAGTTTCACTGTAAAAATGCTGTTGATCCCAAATAACTGCTTTGTCTTCTTAGATTTGAATTTAATGGAATATGAATCAAGAATCCACTTAAAAGAGCAGGGATTTATAAAGAGTCGTTTTTTTGCTATTGATATGATCATTGAAAAGTTTTAAATAAAAACATCTGAGGGAGGAGAAGGTAAAATAAAAATAAATATATCACCTCACTAAGAATGACCCAATGATCGCTCTCTGAATGAACGGTTAGTCTCAGTTCATCCACTGGTCCCACTTCTAGAGGTACTGTGCCCTCCGCTATTCCTTTATTATTGAATTTGCCTGAAATTTAGTCGAAAAAACAGGAATTAATACTTGAAGAGAAAGTACGAAAACACTTTTAAAAAAAGTGAAAACCAAAGATTGGGCATGTCACTCATTTTCACGGAGCGCGAACAAAATTTCTATCCGATCTCGTTGGAGTTGGAGTTGTTAACTTTTGGCATCTTCAAAAATCGAAAAAAAGCATAAGTCACCTTAAAAAACTTGAGTAGAGTTTGGCTTGATCAGAAATCACTGCTAATATTTCAATAATTATTACCTGCTCTTTCTGATTATTATATTCATCCTGGGCATCAAATGCATAAGAAAACAGTAAGATATCACAGGCGGTAGGCATTTGAGCCGCACTGAATCTTTTACACTCATCAAAAACTTATTTTTCAATCCGTAATGAAGAATCGAACTCAAAAAGAGTTTCTGGTGCAAACTGTCATCATTTTGGACTGGATTTAAAATATGAAAGAAATTAGTTTTTAAAAATTCAACTATAGGTATAACTGACATTTCATGGCTTAAAAATCACTCCATTGTTCAGCATTGAATGATCTAACTTGAAATAAGAAAATGTATCAGTGAGACCGCTGCTGGTTACATTTGTAAAAAAATTAGTGGAATTTACACTACTGATAAGAACAAGAAAGGTCATTTTCACTAGCACATGCATAAAAATTGCAACCGACTTACAAGGGGAGGCTACCGATTGTCCACCTCAGATCGGGTTCAAATTTGGCAGAGAGGTAGAATAGGTTAATATAAGAACCCGTATTTTTTTTTAAGTGCCAATGCCCAGCCGTTTTTGAGTTATGAATTTTTGAAGTTGCCGTTTTTTCGTGTCAACGACGCGCTCAAGTTGAGCCTACTGTGCGCGCACCTTTTAATGCGATCCGAATGTCATAACGATCATGTGAGACAGTTGTCCAAGCGGTAGCGCGCTTGCCTATGGTGCTTCAGGTTCGGAGTTCGATACTTGGTCCGCGAGTTTAATTTTTAAAATTGATTATTTTGTTTTTTAATCGCTTCATCACAAGAAATAGTAAGTCACCTTGTAGACGTTATGATTCTAATTATTTTTTATGTATATTTTTTTTTTTATTTTTTTTAATGAGTGTCTGACAAAAAAGGGAAAAAACATAATTAGCATCACAACGTCTACAATGTGACTTACAATTTCTTGTGATGAAGCGATTAAAAGACAAAATAATCAATTTTAAAAATTAAACTCACGGAACAAGTATCGAACTCCGAACCTGCAGCACCATAGGCGAGCGCGCNAAATTAGTTTTTAAAAATTCAACTATAGGTATAACTGACATTTCATGGCTTAAAAATCACTCCATTGTTCAGCATTGAATGATCTAACTTGAAATAAGAAAATGTATCAGTGAGACCGCTGCTGGTTACATTTGTAAAAAAATTAGTGGAATTTACACTACTGATAAGAACAAGAAAGGTCATTTTCACTAGCACATGCATAAAAATTGCAACCGACTTATTGTTAGTTGGACTACATTCACAATGTTGAGGAATGAGGGGAGAGAGAGCAAGATCACTATTCAAGTACGGATGTGGCATACTGAACTCGCAAAAAAAGAGAGAAGAGCCATAATTCTACCTGCTTATTCCACTTGCAGTTTCCTCACAACCCGAAAACGCAGTCTCAAAATTATTGCTTTTTCTTGTTTGATCTTGGTGTCAACTTTCTCAGCGTTACACTGTCTATTCGATGTAAAGCAAGACTTTAAGTGCTGATAATTGCAAACCAGGCAAAATGGTCTCATTTGAGAAGTTTGGCAATAGAAAGCCTAAGCACAAGTGGCACTTGTGATACTTTGGCCGCAAGATGACGATAAATCGATAGTTTTCATAAATGTTGAGCAGTGTTCGAAACTCACCTTTGAGTTTTAGAGGCCATATGGCACATGAAGCCCAATTTTTAGGCGTCATTGAAGATAGTTTAATGGTCAAATTGACTTTTCGCCTATATATTACGGCGCATTCAGTGAAAAGTTAGACGCAAGATGTTTTCATAACAGAACTAGTAAGTAGCTGTAACTTAGGGAAGACAAAAGCACAAATGATGAAATCGTGAAGAATAGAAAAGCTTTCACTTGTGGTGCTAAAAATTTCGAATAATAACCTAATATGAAAATTCAGATTTTTAAGGGCCACGTGGGCGCAGAGCCTTCATTTTTTAGGAGCCATGGCCAATTTTTTAGGCGCATTTGGCGCGTTGGCGCCTGTGAGTTTCCAACACTGATGTTGAGAATATTCAAAACAAATCCAGAGAAATTGAATCTAATATCAAGCAAGAGGGTTGATATATTATGATAAAAAATGACAGTTACCTATAACTATTGAGGTATTTGACGGATTTGTTGAGATAGATGACTTGACTGGAAAAATTTCAACAGTTGTATTAGAGAGCAAGTCAGAGGGGTGCTCTGCGTTTCCACTCCGAAGTAGATACCTAAATAACAAAAAATAGACAGATTGTTCGTTAAGAGTGCATAAAAAGGATTTTAGTTTGGCAAATGAACTGGTAAAACTGAGAAAATAGTGTTTCTAAGCAACATTAACATGAAAAAAAGAAATAATCGGACCACTAAGCAAGGCAATAAAGTAAGTACTGCAGTTTAATTTTCTAAACAAGATTTAATGCAGAACTTGTTGAACATATTGAGTTTAACGAACGTAACAACTTCTTTGAACGAGACTACTTCTAAAATCAACTCTTAAGTGGAACATAAACTATCACAGTTTACATTATAAACAGGAAATTCAAACTTCCCGCTCGCAAAACCATAGTCAACGAAAGCCAAATCGAGCCATGAAATCAACCTGTACATTAGGCAAATAACTAGAGTTTAGCATCTCACATGTTTACTTCTTATCTGAATGCAAAATTGGTACCTTTAATCTTGTCAAAAAAAATTAGTGCATAGGTAAATTCCTTCAATCTTTAAACATACTGTTTTTAATTTGACTTGAGTAAACTCGGGTTTTCCTTGAGCAGGAAGCCGAAAATAACGTAGAACTAAATTGTTATTATCAAACTTACAAGTTGAATTTGGAAAATTTTCATGTGCGTATACTATGTAAAATTTTGAAAAGGAAACCTACATTGTGGTGCTTCAGCTTCCTTGTTAATGATATTTACGTTCCTGGTATGTACTTATTGATTGCCAATTGGAGCCAAAGCTGGATTGGACCATTCCGTAAGATATATAATAAAAAATGGTTAAGAGATTTAAAGGACTAAGAAAGTCATGGTGTTGGAGGGTTGTTTTTCGGTTTTTTTTTTTTTTTTTTTTTTTTTTTTTTTTTAAAATGATAAGAAAAATAAAGTTGAGTTTTAGAATCAGAGGTTACCTTTTAAGTCTGATGGGTACTTTGAACTTGAACATGAAGACATCATTAGGCTGAGGAGTCAATCCCCAGAAAAATGATTCACCTAGGTACGCTTTCTGCAGAGTATGAATTTTGTAAGCTTTGACTGTCGTGTAGCATTCTGCGCTGGGGTTGGAATGAGATTTGTACAGTTGTAGCTTTCCAAACCTTTTATCCTAATGAACGAGAAAAGAAAAAAACGTGATGAATTTACAGTGTAATGGCTGCAGATGATAGAAACTGAAAATCAAGTTTTTGTAGGTCTTGTCCCCACAGGATGTTATGCTGCGATTTGTGACAGGGAAAAGTTGCACTGGGTTGCGACAGATATTGACAGACTCAATTTTAGTCGCAGTGCCAAGTTCAATCATTGTGAAGCTCAAAGATCAACTGAGAGAGAAAGAAGAGGTGAAAAATAATTTTATTTTTTTAAATAATATTTCATAAAACTCCTCATACAATTTATCAAGATTTTTGGGGACTTCTGTATCAACAAAAATGAAATGACACCAAACGATACGATTTTGCAAAGCAATTATACAATTGCTTTTTGCTTAGATACTTCCATTTATCAACATAGGAACTTAGCTTAATGGAAGACACAATGTTTTACTAGAATAAAACAACTGACATTTGAGATAAAATATTCCCTTATTCAAGATCAGCTGACATGGTGACGAAGTAAACAAAAAATACTATACCTTCAGTGTCTGAATTTTCCCTTTCAAAGATGATGTGGTCCCTATGTGCTGGAAAAGTGATGGCTCGTACTGTACCCAGATTTTGGCCTTCCTCTTCTTGCACTTTTTCTGAAAAGGACAAAGAAAGGGCAATTAAGGTACTACCAAATTACTTTTTTTGACTAGAGATATATCAATTGGACGCGGGCAAACAATTATTTATTACATCTCCGGATGCATTTCAAAACTTCAAAACTTACTACAAAACTAATAAACAAACTACTTGCTGCTATTTAAACATTTTTGGTAGAGCAGTACCGTATGCTAAAATGATTATAAAAGGAAGAAAAATCTTGGTACTATACATTTTTTATTACAAGTTATTTACTTACACGCTCAGAACGGTTACATGCTGAGGGCCTATTCGGCCACTGTGATTTGTATGCTGATTTGTTTCATCTGCCAATTATATAGTTAGAATTTCTTTTTCTTTTGCTTGCTAATCTGTTTGATACCAGCATGTAGTTTTTCTTTACTATTTGTTTTATTGCTCTGAAGATGGCCCTGAAAGGCCGAAGGCCTTCAGCATGTAACCATTCTAGGCACGTAAGTAAATAACTTGCAATAAAAAATGTTTAGTACCAAGATTCTTCTTACTTATGGTACTATTTTGATAGTAAGATGTATAATTTGATGATCAGGGAAACTCAAATGATGCTTATAACGTTTTCTCTCAGATTTTGAGTGGCGGCTAGATGCAACAAACCAGGTTTGAAAAAACCTGAACAAACGGCTTGAAGAGGTCCTTGCAACAAAAACATTGTCTCTTAGCTTATTTACTACAACAGCTACTACCATTTGGAGTATATTTTACAACAAGGAACCACTACATAATTTTGGCTCAATCATGAAAGTGCCTATTTACATTGGGAAACTGTTGGCACAGTTATTTCTTTTAATTCACTGCCTGCAATGACATCACAAAAAAACTGAAAAAGTTATGACACTGCTGACAGTTACCAAATCAGTGCTTTTGCATCAAATTTACTATATTGTCTGACTCAAGACAATTAAAGACTTTTTAGTTCTGATTTTTTTTTCTTCAATTTCTCTCCACAAGGGCTTTAACATTCTACCATGACTAAGATCTAATAATTTGATCCATGACATACAATCAAATGATCACAAAAACGAGCATTTGGAAAAATAACATTTTTCCCTGAGAAAGAGATGATCCCTTCCATTAATGTACTTACATCATCGTCATCCAATCTACACACTTTTGTGTGAATAATATTTTCTAACAGCCAGTCACAAGGTTTATCGTTGAAAAACATTATGAAGAATTGAATGATCCATGGCAGCTCAAAGCACTTGAACATTTTTCCTATTAAAAAGAAAGAAAAAACATACATAACATCAGCGACAGAAAATCCATTGAATATTTCTCTAAACTGTTACTTTTTCAAGGCAAAAATGCAACAAGAAAATGTGCAAAATCAAAATTAGTACCCTCAATTCACAAAATAAATGATATGAAAGCCAATAAGTCTATTAATTTCGATTCTACACATTTTTATGTTGCATTTTCGCATTCACAGTTTGTTACCTACCTCAGTATTTTTGGATTTGACCGTTTCAGTTCCTATCCAAGTTCTACTTCAAGAACAAACAAAAATAGTAGCACTGAAATAACCAGGCCGGGAGTTTCGCATCTGACTTTAATAGGGAATATAATTTCTACATTTTAGTGTCAATATTGTTCATAGGAAAGTTTGATTAGTTTCAAATTTTGTGTATGAAATGGGATCCTCTATTGATGGTCGATATTTCACAAGATTGATACTTACCATATAAACAGACACATGACCTTGTCATAATCGCAACATGGTCGCAAAATGCGTCTAGATGTTTACATCTTGAGGTTTAATGAGTCATTTATTGATTTATAACTTGCTAATTACAAAACTTTAATCAATTAACACATACAGAATTTGGAAATAAAGTTCTGTTCTATTGTTTCCGTTTGAATGATTGCAAATCAATTATTCAGTAAATTGCATTTAAAATAAATCGATACATTGAATATTGAAAGAATGATGAGGCCTTGAAATTAGTCTATTACTGGAACACGTGCAATAAGTCGACACAAAAATGTGTCCAGAGAAGACAATTGAAACGTACCGATGAATCCTAGCTGGCAAAAATCCAAGACAAACCAGTTCTGCCTCCTAACGATAGCTTTGAGTGCGACACTCTTCATTGTTGTGATGAAATTTGTTTTGGCCAAAATGTCATCCTCTAACTGGACATAGAACATGCCTCTGGACTGAGCGTACATCATTAAAAATGCATAGTCCAGATTCTGTTTTGAGCGCCATTTCACTCTCTCCGGATCATCATCCAGGGTTCTCCGCAAAGATGAGAACTCAGGGTAGTAGTGTAATGGAGGAGATATGATGTCTATTAACCCTGACTCAATGGCTTCAGGGAACCTAAAACAGGTAAGCAAACGTTTATTTGTTGAAAATAGCAGTGAGCAAGCTCAAACCTCAAGATTCTAGTACGAAATATGATTTTTTTTTTTCATTTTCTTTTCTTTCCCTCCTCGTCATACAAAATGGTAGGGATACAAAGAAAGGTGAATTTACTTTATTCAACTATGTTCCTAAATTGAATTGTTCCATATTTCGAATAAGTGTGAGGTCTGATTTATTCTCAAAATTGTGTTTTTGACTTAACAGTTGCCCGCCCCCACCCTCCTTTGTGCTTTTTCTTGAGTCCTGAAATGTTTTTCTTCTTCTTTCTTTTTGAGTTATCACCATTCCAAGTAAGTGCTTCAATTATAATTTTTTACTGGCACATATTTTTACCCAACTGCAAATCTTTTTGTCACTTGAATAATGAAATTCATCGATAGCCAAGCAGAACAAGTTATTACTCCTAACCTCAATAAATAGTACCAAATTCATAAAATCGCAGACTAGAGAAACTCAAGAAAATAAACGGTACTCACTGTGCTTTAACATCGTTGGCCACACTTATAACATATTTAGCATCAACCTAGAAACAAAAATAAACATTAGTGAGAAAAATCATACAAATTAAATCACAGTATCATTGTAGATAGTTCAAAAAAAGATTTTTATGACTACCTTACTGAAGATTTTACTTAGGTTTTGATCCACTCCACTATTTACAAACCTAGATTTAGAAATTTTAGAGGAAGAATTATGTACATATATTTTTCCCCAAATAAAAATCAAGTAAAAAACGCAGATGCATTTTGGGCGCCACTTCCTCTCCTCAAAGTAGGTTTCGATTTTTTTTTTTTTTTTTTTTTTTTTTTTTTTTTTTTTTTTTTACGGGATTATTGTTTCGATTTTATAAAATTCATGTTGTTTTTCCTCAATATCACATTTATTAATCTTCTAATTGGAAAGTGACTGAGAGATATGAATTATTTACCTCAGCTATTAATACAACTATTAAAGTTTCATTCTGTTCTTCGGGGCTCATCGATTCCAGCAAATTCTGCAAGGTTGTCAGCAAATAACTTTGGTTGCTTCGTTTCACAGTTGGTACCCCTAAGATTATTTTCACTGAAAAAAGAAACATGGAATTAAACGGCTTGAAAACAAAGATTACAAGAGACTAGTTTGAGCATTCCAAAGATTCCAAAGATCTAGGGCTGAGAATTTTAAGTAATCAAAACAGTTTCCACATATTTCTTGTCTATCATTCGGAAAATTTTGTTTATTTCCTTCGAGACCATGTTCAGAGACTAGCATAACGATTGAAATTTAGATTCTGATTCCACAATAGACAAAGAAAATTTAAAAATTTGATAGGAAAAACTATTTATTTTTTCTTCCTCTTTTTTGATCTTTTCTCCTTCCTCTTTTCCTTCTTGCTTTTTCTTCTTTCCTACTTCCTCTTATTCTTTTCCTATGTTTCTTTCTTTTTTCTTCTCCCTCCTCCTTTTTCTCTTCCTCTTCTTTCTCTTTTCCTCCTTTCTCTTATTATCTTTTTCTTACGTTATCTGTGTGCGACGAATTTGTTGACAGAGGCTGTCCTCACTATTATATTGTGGCTGGAAGATGCAACTATTCGACCACATGGGAGCCTGTGTTGCCTACACTATAAATTGAAGGCAAACTGAGAAGACATAGAAGTAACCTCTTCCGACTTGATAAGAAGCTCTTATTTTCTGTGTATCAGGGGTGAGCATGCCTTTTCACGATGATACCACTATTCGATCACGAGAGAGCTCGCGTTGCCTACACTAACAATTGAAGGCAAACTGATATGCCGTTGAGGTGACATCTTCTAGTTTGGTAAAAGCGGTACGTGTATGAGCCGAGGGGGTAGCGGCCCCTCTCCCCAAAATTTCCGAGGATTTTTGCGAAAAGTTATCGACGATGTTGACATTTGGTGCTGGGATAAATCGCGCTGCGTCTCACACATTTTTTTGAATGTTCGATCGCAAGAAATTTAAGTCCATACCACTACTTTCTTTAAAAACTTAGTTGAGGACGTAACAGAGATTTCTACCCCTTTGAACCCAAAAATAGGAGAACGATTTGCCGAGAAAACAATCAAAAATTTATTCTGAGGAGGGACCTACATTCAAAAATTTTTGGAGGGGGACCTGGCTGGGAGGTAACATCGGTGAACCCCTGTCATTTTTCTAAATTGCAACCCCCCCCTCCATTTCCAGTTAACGCGCTGTTATTCAAATGCATAACATTCCTGATGAATACGAGTAAATATTAAAACAGCAATGAAAGAGTGATTAGCTTTCGAATTCTAAACTTACCTCCTCTACGACCCTTGGATGTGATGTAGGCGGGCCTAAGATGAGGGACATTAACGAGGTGAGTGAGGAACTGGTAGACAGACGGCAGTTTCAGAGGAGGATTCAGTGCCGATACCGAGGAGGCATTCTTTAGTGTTGAATAAAACAGTTTCGAGTCCGTTGAATTGTCCAGCCAATCTTCACCAGGCAATGGAACCTGCGAAGAACCCAAAAAGATTTATTCTTTGTATTTTGATGGATGTACATCAGGAAGCTCGTTATAAAAGAAGAAAACACTAGAAAAAAAGTCGCTTGGATCTAGAGTCCGAACTCTGAAAAACATCGACAAGAAAGATACTCTCGATTCAATCGGATTTTTGCTTAAATCGAGAACCAAGCCTCTTGATTTGAGCGGATTTCTTGTTGCCCTGGTAGAAATTGGCAGTAGAATCTGTGTTCCAAAATACCATAGACCTACGGCCGGCTGTAAGATTTCCAATAGCTTCTATAGCCGGCTACACAATTTCTTAGAGCCTTTTATAGCCGATGGCGATTAAGCAACTCAAGGCCAGGCGATAAAGTGTATGCTAAACATCACTAATTACGGATGCTAGGGATTAGTGAGTTTTTGGACCACTCCTCTCTTTTTGGGCCGTAGTAGCTTGATTTACTTTGCGAGGAAAGCTCCGTACTTTTGATGGATGCCTGCCATTCCTAATATATTAGAGCGCCTTCAGTTTCGTATGATACTGTGCAATACTTCTGGTGTGAAATAGTTGCTTCAAGCGCCGTCGTGGCACGCTGCGGTGCGGCAGGCGGGCAGCCAGCGCGAAACGCGCATATTAGCGCCTACAAACCTAACAGGGATACTTCACGCGTCGCCGCTCTGCTTTGCGTTAAACTCTAATATTTAATCTGGCGGAGTCAGCGTTATTCAACTCATGATTTTGAAATGTTTGCACGTCCTGTATGAATTATTCGCGTATTAATTGATGAAAAAAAAATATATATTGAAGGAAAATATAACGCGTGTTTTGTAAATATTAAGGTGGTTCCGTATCAAACTTAATGATTTCCAAAGCACACGAATTTCTGCACAATTTCTTATAGCCTTTTATAATCGATGGCGAAAAAGCAACAGCCAGGCGATAAAGTGTAAAGCCCGGCGATAGGAACTATAGCCCGGCTGCATAATTTTTTATCGCCTCGAATAGCCCGGCCGTATGATTTACTCCGAATTCTACAGTCAGCTATATGATTTTCTGTAGCCTTCTTTAGCCGGCTATAAGAATTCCTATGGTATTTTGAAACGCAGCTCTTATCGCCAATTTTTACCAGAGTGAGTCAAGCAAAAATCCGATTGAATCAAGAGTATATTCTTATTTTCTTTTCAATGTTTTCGAGAGTCTGGACTCTAGATCCAAGCGACTTTTTTTCCAGTGAACCTTGAGTGAGGCTGATGCACACGAGAGGTGCAACCCACAAGGGACTCTTTAATTTCGTAAAATTGCACAAGTATCACGCCGAGCTGATAAAAAATGTCTCAAATTTAGAGTGCGTGTATAGATAGAGTACGGACACGTCGAAATAAGGAGCCCTTAGATCCCAAAAGGGCAGCCAACCTTCTAACATAAAAAAATGTCTCTGCCAATCTTCAAATTCCAATATCAAACCGAGATGGCCAAGAATGTTCATAAACTTGCGCAACTTTTTCAAATAATTTTATTGAATAGACAACATATCGACGGTGAAACTACCAGACCACCAGTGGCGTGGGGTGCTTTGCGATATATCGATGTTTTGCCATTTAAACCTATGGTAAAGAATCGATTACCAAGGTGTTCGCTGCGAACACCCTGATTATCTATCCTTTTCCATAGGTTTAAATGGCATAACAATCGATACATCGCAAAGCACGCCACGCCACTGCAGACCACGTCTCTCTGTTTGCGACGTTGTAGACTTCCTGTCATGGGCGTAGCTAGGGGGGTCCTGGGGGGGCTTGCCCCC